AATGATGACATTCAGTAGTTCATAAAAGAGGTTTACAACTTTGTTGAGTACCATAATTTTAAGTACTATTTGCAGGTCTGTAACATGCTTTATTTACTTTGAATGCTTCGAACTTAAGACAGATCTACTAGGTATTTCAAAATCAGATGTAACTTAGCAAAGAGGCTGTAAAGAAAATATATAAAACTAAAAGAAATCAGTAACATGAACCAGGAAACAATAACCAACTTTTATGGCAGTACATTTTTACAGAGGTAGTGTCCATACATATGAGACTGCCTTGGCTTGTAAATTATCAGAAAATTTATGCTAAAGCAAATTACTTTTGGTTTGAAACATCTTTTTAGGGGCTCCTGAGTGGCTCAGTCATTAAGTGATCTCGACTCAGGTCATGATCCCAGCGTTCTGGGATCCAGTGTCGTATCAAGCTCTCTGCTCAGTGGGAGCCTGCTTCTTCCTCTCCAGCTCCCCTGTGCTTGTGTTCTCTCTCTTGCTATCTCTGTCATAAATAAATAAAATCTTTTAAAAAAAGAAAAAGAAACATCTTTTTAAGCTTTCAAAGTTTCAATTGCTTTCATAACGTGTGAAACACAAGGTAGCTTCATGTGATGTGTACGGCTACGTGTTATTTTTATAAATAAAGTGACCTAGATGTCAGGAAGTTCGTAATTGTACCTTCACCAAGAGTGCTGACTGCCCAGACAGCACGTCCCTATGGCATGAAGATCAGAATTTTCCTGGTGAAATGTTTGCATTGTAATTTAATGGTTTTTGAAAATCATTAAGAAATGTAAAACATCAAAGGCAATTTATTATTGAAGTAAAGTGAAGATTATCTATCAAGTTAAACTAGACTTGAAAGATGCTTTCAAATCAGTTTCAATCCAGGAATTACTCCTTTGTGTATTCAGAAATTATTTTCGTTCATCTTGCTACTCTTCAGAAATGGTACATAAAAGGAATGAAGATTACTTTGAAAATGTTTCCTAAGATGAACTTTAGCTTCGTTTTTCCCTTTCTAAAAAATAACTAGTAATTACCCATAATTACAAGAACAGTCTTTTTCTTCCATTCAAGTACTGTATCACCAGATTATTCATCCTAAGCATGTTGCAAAGGATGTTCACTAGAATTCTAGTCCCATAAGATGCTTTGAGAAGAAACCATTAAATAAGCTGAAGAAAATCTCTTTAAGACCTTCTAGAGTTTCCAATGTGCATTAGTGTAGTAAAGCTTTAGCTTTACATAGTGAAAACGAAAAACCAAAAAAAAAAAAAAAAACCCACTTGGTTTATTTCTCCAATTTATTTGATAACACTAAGTCATAAAGAATTAGTGATTTGTGAAACTTACTTTAGGAATCACTTTAGGATTGTTATTGTTGAAGGAACAGAAGCTGAATATTCAACAGAAATGAAACCACTGACTTAATCGATTTTATCATATAGAAAAGAAACAGTAAGTACTATGGTGAACTCCATCCCAGTATCAACATGGTGGTTTGGCTAGGGCTAGAAGGTCACATTTTATTGATGTGTAGGTGTCACAGTATTTGAAAGTAATTAATGACAATCAGGTATTAGACTTTGTATTAGGATACATTTATTGATCAAAATGTGTTCTTGGAAATAATCTTTAAATATAATGGAATCTGCTGAGCATCTACTATTATATCCATTACCATGTTTAAAATTTTTCCTTTGGGAAGAATTAACAACACGTATAGTCCTATGATATAAGTGATAGGCCCATGGAAATTAATATAAACCCTAAATAGCTTAGTTAGGAGTTGAATCTAAGTCTCTCTGCCTCTCCCCTGTACTGTATCAGTTCAAAAGGCTTTACCAGGTGAGTCCTCAGAAAGGACCATCCAGGGCAATGCAGTTATAAGCAGATGTACAAATGAGTATTGCAGCCTAAGATCTTAGCTTACTAATAGGAATATTTGAAGATTCACCTGGCAAAGTAAACGGACATGAAAACCATCAAAACTTAAAACCACTGACTACTGTGGAAAGAATATTTAGCACATCCCTATTTAAGTGAACTTCACTTCAGTTTTTTCATTCTTCAACTCCAGGAATCATCAGTGACTTACCTCTGTTCATAGTCATGCTAGTCGTTAAAAATAATTTACCCGGAAAGAAGTCAATAGGAGGTGACACATAATGCTGCTATTAGTACTGTATGGAACTTCTGAGCCAAAAGTTTTCTCATTAGTTTCACTGAACATGTTTTTGCTTCCACTTAATTTTAAAAGAAAGTCAAATTGAATGGCCATTTGAGATTACAAAGAATGCACAAGACCCAATCTGGGAAGCTATGCTTAAAACACAAACAAAAATGTAACATAATCTAATTAATGCACCAGAGGTATTATTCACAAATGACTGTATTTTTAGAGAGAACCATTAAAGATGAATTTTTTTAAAAACTAATTTTTATATATGAGACCTTAAATATCACCTATGGCTCTCTTCAAATGACAGGTGATTAGTCTGTGCCTAACGTCCCTCCTTAATAATGAAAGAGGGTGAAACAAAAACTCAACATGTACTCTGCTTACTCTGTCCCTTAAACAACCTGCTTTTTCTTTATCTACCCTTGGAGTAGAATCAAATTTCAACATAATCTAAGAAATACCATAATAAATCAATGAATATTCAAAGCAAAATCAAGTTTAAAATCAATATATTTCAAGCATTTGCTTTTCTTAAAAAAAATTAACTTTCCACCGCACATGTTTACAAGACTTAAGACTGGAGAAAGGGTGAAAGTCTGTTAAGTCTAACACAGAACAGGATGGTAATTCTCCACTTTCCCTGAAAGCCCAGAAAGAATGACCCAAACTACTAATAATATTTACTACAAATATGCCCAAATCCAGTGATTTGACTAATAACTCTGGAAATGTTTGTAAGACTGTGAAGTGAAATAAAAAAATAAATATGCTCAATATTACAGAATATAAAAAAAACTTTTTCTTTCTGAATTCTGAATATTCTATTAGGGCTGGGGTGTTTTCCCAAAAGGTAATGCAAATTTTTATCTATACAGATATGTCTCATGTTTTTTATTCAAAATTATCTTATGACTGTGCAATGTTCCCAGTGTCAAACATCCTATGATTGTAAATGAACTAGCACCATTTCAATAAGCTTCATAAAACAGTCTAGCTAAATACCCATGAACAAATCACACATGGTCAAAACAAAAATGTAATAAAAATATTTAGTGAAAAGACACATTTAACTCCCATTTATGGATTTTAAAAATACAAATAAAATTTTATCAATTTGATATTCAGCTTGTAACTGGCTCAATACATAGCCTTGATTTATTTCCTAAAATCATACTGCAGCATCTTTTGAAAAATTAAATGCAACTTTATACCTTCAGTAATGTTAATAGAGGTAAATATTTAAACAGTATACTCATCCCTGGGTTTCTTAAAAAAACTGAAAAGTCTTAGTGTAAGTTTAAAATTTTAATATTTATAAATTTAAAAAGTTTTACACGTGCTGAATGGTAGCAGTGCTAACATTTTGTGACCATTAAACCACAAACTCACTGCATGGAGCTTCTTTCTTTGCACAGAGAACCAAATCATAATACCAGTATTTGCAATCTGTCATAATCTTATGTGGTAAAAAAGACACCACGCCAGGAAGCCTAGGCTCAGAACACACTTGAGGTCAGATCCCCATCAGGTACATGGTGCAGATGCAGTATTTTTAATTTCAGGTTAGGAAAATATGCTATTAGTACACATCTGACAGCTCCTAATAGCTAAGAGGCCTAAGAATATAGATTGAAAAAGAAACAACAAATTCTCTCTACTGGTGGAAAGGCCTGGGAATAAGTGAAGCGCAAACCCCAGTGGGTGAGGTGGATGAAGATGGTTTTTGGTGTGAGTCTCAGAAGTCTAACGTGCCAGCTGCACCTCCCAAACACCACTGAAGCGGTTGTGGAATATTTCAGTCTATCCAAAGGAGAGAGAGTTACAGGCCAGAAACAGATTACTTCATCCATCCTCTTTAAAAAAAGAATGGATGCCCATTATTAGGTTTCTATCTTTTCCTGAACCAAATATATTCTTTGGCTAAGTATGTTATGGGTTCCCATTATCATCAATGAGGAATATTTCATATTTCTCACATCTAAATTTAAGTATTTAAAGTTCAGCTTTCACCAGGGTACTTCAAATTAATTTGAGCTCAGCAACATACCTAATTTGGACATTTTTTAATTTTAGAAAATCAACTTTTGAAGAATTCTTAAATGTAGTGTTTTACCAAATCAGAGAATACCCACTTGCATTTTAAAATAATTTAAGACATTATTATATCCTCAAATCAGCTATGCTGTTTTGTAGAAGAATTTATAGAAAATTATGTTAAAAAACTTACATCAAGTCAGTTCCTTATTCTGTTAAAAAAAAAACACAAACACTAAGAAGTTCTGAGGTTCCTTCTGCTTTAACAGTTAATATTTTATTCAGGAACCAATAATGATAATTATCTGTCAGAGACAGCTAACTTATAAGGTCTAATGACAACCACCCCTAATGATGGAAGTGGCAAACAGAAACAAGTAAAACTGTTTTAAAAGGGTTTTTTAAGGGTTCAACGGACAGTGAATACTAGGATACTCAAACCTGAAATCCTTGAAACTGAAAGCTAGTTCTCTTCAATACTTGAGGGATTCATGTAAGAATTAACTGAAATGGGAAATATGGTGACATTAGAAAGACAAAGACTTGACGTCTTGGTAAAAGAGAAAATTCAATCAAAGACTATAAGGGGAGTGTTAAATATTGCTGGCTGGGGGGGGAAGTTATAATAATAGCGATGCTTGGTTGTGAAGTGAAAACTAAAAAAAAAACAAAAAATGTGTAACCATCATATCTGAACAGAGCAATGTAATGTAATTAGATACATGGTTTACAATAAGACTAAATTCTTAAAATTTGAAAAATATTGCAAAGATTTTTTTTTTTAAACATGTCATACTTTATACCAGACAAAAAACCTCAATGCAGTGATGTTAACATGCTCCCCCTGTCTTCCAAGAGATTAAGAGACAGCAAGGCAGAAAGACCGGGATAAATGTGTTGAGAAGGACACTGTCAAATACTGCCAAATAGTTTAGCTACCCAGGCAGCCACCCATCCAGAAGGACTGTGAAGACAAATTAATCCTTTTAACAGAGCTACAAGAACACAGTTACAGGTGCTGTTACATGGATACAAATTGTGAAAGGACCAAGTCCCTAGTGATTGTGCCGCGGGACTCTGTAGAGACTATGACTTTGGGAAACAAATGGGAAAGGAAAATAAAAACAGAAATAAGTCAAATAAAGAATGAACTGAAAACTGTAAGTTAAAGGATACTATATATGAACAACAGAAATTTTGTAAAACACAAAATTCTAAAAATCATATCTTCAACAGTGACCCTTGAACATATAAAAAGGGGGGCCAAAATAATGTTTTTGTTTTTAAAACTTTTTAACAACTTAGTTTAATAATATGAACCAATTTACTGGAATTAAGCCAATGTTCTTTACATCCACTGGGCCAAGAGCATTAAAACAAAAACCCTCAAAACCAGAACCAGGAAACACAGCCAAAGACAAAACTGGACAAAGTAAAACAAAAGACCCAAACTAAGCAAATATTCAACCAGGCAAACATACACAAACACCCTGAAAGAAGTCTTAGCCATTACAATTAAAGTTGCACCCCCATTACCTAGAAAATGGTGGTGGCTGTTTTTCCCATTTGCCACTAAACAACATTCTGGAGATACTGAAGTATCATTTGGTCCAATATGAAATAAATCTCACTTTAACTGAAACTGATCTAATAAAATTGCAGTATTGTAATAACATCTGGGCCAATTCAGCAGATACATTTCTGTCTATAGAAAAGTTATTAAATACTGATGCCTTTTTATTTAACAAGTCATTTCTTTCCTACTCATCTTTACTTTTAACAATCTGATTATAGTTTTGTCATGGCCAGCAGACCCACCCAGTCAGTTGCGTATTTCAGCGTCTTTTGGCAAAGGGACTATATTACTTAACACATAGATACCTACAGCTCACAACTACTGAGAAAGCATTAGGGAGCTGGGAAACATAAAACACCAAGAACACTGCCACATCAGACTTCACGTTAAGGGGAGAAAAGAAGAAGAAATTAAAAATAAATGCACTTGTTCGAAGTGTTTTTAAAAATATAGTATGTATATTTCATGAGGAGTGATGTTAGTTTTTTCCTACCTGTCTTTTAAGATATTTTTGCTCCACCTCAGTTGTTACTTAACAGTGATCGAATTAAGAGTAATGTTCCTTACAAAGTTATGGCCCTAGGCTTTGCATTCACTCGTGTCTAAGGTCACATGCACAGGGTGGGTGTAATTTCGATGCTCCAGTTTTGTTAACTGTAACTGTTAGTAGCACAGAGTTATACAAAGTTTTGCACAGCATCTCATGTGAAGGTGCATATACTATATGCAATTCAGATATCAACACTACATTCGAAGGACAGTTGAGCGTGTCCAAGAACACAGAAGGAGAAAGCCCACCCCTTGGAAGCATAGCTGCATAGCGCCTGCACCACAGTCCTCTGTCATTGTGCTGTGGGATTTCTGACACTGAAGTGGGCAGAGTTTCATATGCCTGCAGTTTATAAATTAGCTTTCATTTCCATAATTTAAGCTGACACATAGAATTAAGTGGAGCATGGCAGCAGTACAAAAGTCCTGATTAGAAAAGTCAAACTAGAGGATCTAAATAGGAATTTTTTAATCTCTTAAATTAAATTTACATGGCTCCTGTGAAATGAGGAGAATGTCCACTCTAGCATAATTATTGCCCCTAATGCCCCAATGTATAATAGTCTGTATGAATCAATAATTCACATCCTTTAAAATAGTTATTGCTTAAGCAAGCCATTCAGAGTAGATTATTAGCCATGGCTACATGGCTGAAGAGATACATACTCAAAAAGTTAGACTACAAATGAATGAGCCTTTCATTTCACTCATAAACCCACATAAATACACGATCAAAAGGGCACCAGGTTCATAGCAGCTAACACCCTAAACCAACTCTGAAGCATCAAGACTTGATTTCTTACTAAAACAAATCTGCTCTTTTTTGTATTTTCTTCTTAAAATTAAGGCAATGAAATGGCTACAGTTCCTAAAGTTCTTTTTGTGGAACAAAAATATACATGTATTTTCCTCCTTAAGTTCAGGCATCAGAGTATGATTAGAGACCTGCATTATACAAAACCTGCGACACCAGGGATGTTACAAAAAAGAAAGAGCGAGAGCGTGTGCTACAAGAAGCCAACAAACACCCGGTGTGTCTTCTTCCTGCTCAATTATAAACCTTATCATCAAAGGGAGGAAAAGTCTGAAAGCACAAAACCTCTTAGGAGTTTCCAATGTCTTTTGCATTGATTCAAAACTTTTGGGGTGGAAGAGGGGAGGGGCTTATTAAGATGAAGAATCCAAGGCCCAACACACAGAAATTATGACTCTGAGGATCTACAGTTGGACCCAAGAACTACCTTTTCAACCAGCTCCTTGAGTGATGCAGGTGATCTATGGACAACATTTTGAGAAATAACAGGGAGCATATGTCCATCTAATATTTAATTTAACAAAAATTCTAAACTTTGGCTAGCCACCTAATGTTTTGATAAGGGGGGAAAGGCACTGAATATGCATTTCATGGTGCCATATGTTTGCACATATATGGAACTGAAAATCCTAAATCACCATTCAAAATCTACAAGACATATATGACATATTGTGGCTAACACCCAACAGCGGAAGCTGATTCAAAGTGACCTCTCCTGTTTCGCTGCATTAAATAGCAAACTTTCAGGCTCTCCGAAATCCAAAATGGCCAAGGAACTGAAGAACAGGACAAGACTCAAGTCAGCTTTTAGCAATTCAGTGCACTTTGCAGAAAGATCTAAATTATGCATAAAGTTTTGTTGTTTATTTTACACAAAGGAGACCACCAACATTTGCCATAAATTCTTCTAAACTCTTTAGGAAGGCCATCTTCTGCTTCCGATCCAGCGTAGGAGGAGTGCTGCTTGCAGTGAGTTTGTTGAAGGCATCTGCTAATCTCTGGTAAATAACTGGGTCTTGTTGACTTGACAGTAATGTTTCAACCAATTCAGAGTATTCAGCCTATTGAAGAGATAAAGTACACATAAGAACATTTATCTTCCTCAAATGTCACACAACAGATCACATCAGGTACTGCCTTGTGGGATTCTGAAAGGTAGGGTATAACAGGTCTTTTCTCTTATATTAAAGTATAACTGTCATATAACATTATATTAGTTATTGTACATAATAATTCAATATTTGAATACATCGTGAAATGATCATGACAACTCTTTTTAACAGTTAACATTAACTGAAAGTTTATATTTCAAGTACTATTCCAGTCATTTACATTCATAACTCACTTTTTATAACAATCCTATGAGGTAGGTACTGTTTATACTTCTGTTCCACAGACGAAGTTCTTACATACAGTGATATAAGTAATATGTCCAAGACTGCACTGCATCCCCTCCCCTTTTTTTGACTACACTGCTTTTACAGCAAGAATCCAGGCTGCTTGGCTCCAGAAGTCATGCAATAACCAACGCTGTTGTGTTCCTCTTCTCTGTTTTCCAAGCACATTTTTCATATTTATTTTGCATTTTACATATAACCTAAGTCTGCAACCTGACTTTCAACAGTTTTCCAGAGGTTTATATAGACATCCTATCGACTCAGTTCTGAGAACAGCAGAGTCACACAAAGGCAGACAGCTGTTGTTTGTAAGGAGGTGGCATAGTGGGAGGACTGTATTTCAGTCCTTTCTCAAGGTGGAAGCAGGACACTCTGAGCAAATGTAGCTGCAAACCAGTAATGGACCCAATGGCTCTGGGAGAAAGAGCATAAGAAACACAGGAACATGGGAGTGGGGTGGGGGTGTATGTGTAGAGATTTTGTTTCTAATGCCCTCTATAATAAAGCCTTATATAGAGGAGTAGGTGTGGGGTTAAGGGACATTCAAACAAAACAGCTTTTCAAGATAAGCTCTCTTGAAAAAAAAAAAAAAGTGGATCTGACACTACTTTTCATTAGCTCCTTGGGATATCATGATAGACCAAATGGTGAAATGAAATGTTAATTACATTTGGAAAGGAAGAGTAAGGCACAGTAGCCATCCTTGACCTACAAGCATGAAACCAGAATGGCCACCTGAAATGCTCTATCCAAGGAACAGACTTCTCACAGAGGAGTAAGTATAAACTCAAATCATTTCCCTAAATGATAGCCCCTCTAGGGCCAGACCCAGCAAGATTTTATATTAGCCAAACCTAAAACCCTGCTCTCCTTTCTACAATGTGTAAATTTTTTTTTTTTTTTTAAGGCAACTGAAATGCAATGGCTGATATACACAGGGAAAAGACACCTATCCTCCTAGTAAGCAATAAGGAAGTAAGATGACAGCAAAAGGCCACAGATCTGAGTTGGGCACCATCTGCAGAAAGTAGTACCTACAGAACACAACAAGACCTGAAGTCCCAGAATAACTTCAGCTTGGGGTGCAGGTCCCATAGGAAGTCTATAGGGAGTCTTTAAGTAACACGAAAGGCCTCAAAATCCTATCTTTATTAAACAGGTAAATAAAATCAGACTCCAAGTGCCACTCACAGCAAATACTATGGACTCTAAACAAGGAAGGAAAAAAAAAAAAAAAGCCAAAGCCTTTTTGTAATAATAATAATAAAAAAAAAAGTAAATCACTTAGTCATGAGGGACATTTACATGTGTTTGGTGGCAGGGGTGGGGAGACCAAAAAAGGGGAAAGGAGTGTTGGGTAACTAAGGCAGCTGATGACCCAATATGGTTTTTCTCATATACCTGAAGGGACTAGGGAAGGGACTGAAATATTGGAATACTAGAATACTGGAATAGGGAAGGGACAGGTGAGCTAGCGTAACTTAACCCCCAGTGAATGAGTACTTCAGAGTCTTTAAAGGCTGAACAAAATAAAATGAAACAATATATTCTTTTCTATAGTGTAATATGAAGTATTACACTTTGAATACTGTGACAGAAAATACACACTGCTGATTTCCATGCTTTCCCAAGGCAGACTCCTCTGGGTCCACGGTCTTACTCATCTGGTCTCCCTTGTACTGTGAGTTCCTCAAGAACAAAAACCATGTCACTACTATTCGTTCAGGCTGATTCCTGGTTTCTAGCACTTGTTTAAGGAAAAGCTTTAGGGCAGCAATCAATGCAAAGGATGATTCACAACAGTGGAGAAAGGAAAAGAAGTCCTTATTAACTGACAAACAGACTGTCAAATAAACACAGAAAGGCAGAAGTGACAAGGAAATAAAGAAATACAGCCTCACCGAAACAGAACGGAAGCAATGAGTCACAGATTCTCTAAGAACTACAAGTATTAAAGGCCCACTCTCTGTACGAATAACCTCCTTGTTAAAAAAATGAGCAGAGTCCCATGAAAACACTTGTGTCCAGTACCTGATGCAAGCACACCAATGTGTAGAAAGCTTCACCAGCTGCAGTGGTCATCTCTGTGTTGTGCTTTTGCAAAACCAGCATATCAAAAACCAGCTGAAAGTACACAACATAAAACATCTAAATAAAAATATATGATTATCATACAGTCTTCCAGCCCATCCCATTCCAAAAAAGGAAAAAGAGGGATGGTAGTTGTTCTCATTTATTAAATAAATCTGAAAATTAAAAGTTTTTTAAAAATCCAACCATAAGGGGTTGTTACCCCTTGCTGTGATAAACGAAATCATCAAGTGACCAAATTCCCTGTTACTTTTAACCACTCTGATTTTCAAGAACACACAATAATAGCAGAGAATAATGTATTCAGGGAATTATAGCCAAAAAACACAGTGAACGAAAGTAATGATTTCCTGCTTTATGAATGATGTAAGCATTTCCTCATTTGAATGAAGATTTACATGCACTGACCATAATTATTAAAGCAGATGGTTTCACGACAGGCCACCCAAACGTCTTACCTTAAGAAAGTGCCGTGTTGCTAAAAAAAGAGGTGAATCTGTTTCTTGTGCTTTAGCACACTGTTCAGCTAACGGTGTCAAAGCTTCCAGGCAAAGCTGGCAAACCTCCGAACTCATTCTGATCATGAAGGTCAAGGAACAAACTAGATATATTTGACTTATTAAAGATTAAAAATAGCTATTAGCAAATTCTAGGACTGAATACAGGTAAGGGAGTAGGTTAGTGTGCAGTATGTCTATACACTATTATGTGAGAAAAAGTTTCCAGTGGTTCTGAATGGAAGCTGGACTATAGATTTCTAGTGTTTCTGATCAAGAGGACACAACTGATATTACACAATTTATTTTTCTCTACTATCCGGTAGCTAAGATCAGAGACTCAGCAACAATATATGACATTACTAATTGGGGCTCTTAACGAAAAGAGTGACTTCGGGATCAGGCACCAAACACCTGTGGGATCTGTGAAAGGAGAACAAGGTGAGGCAAACTAACAAAAGAAACACAGAACTAAGGTAGTTAAGAGAGATGACTGCTTTCTAAAGAAATAAAACTAAAACACAAAAGAAATTTTTTTAAAAACACAAATTTAAAAAACTTCTTTAGGTAAGATCTTTTTCCCCAAGTGACAAATGATAATGACGCTCAATTAAAGGATATGATGTCATTCCTAGTTCTAACGAGTACATCAGACTTTTAAAAAGATCTTCAGGAAGCTGTGGAATTTTTTCAGGAAAAATCTCACAGATAAATGTGATTAATTTGTAGTACTGATTACAAAGGGTTGGAAACTGAAAAAGAAATATTATTTAGATGCTTACTGATATCTAGTTTCTATATTCATTAATGCAGTAAATAAAGTAATAACCGACAAACTTAAAGTACAATGATGTCTTGAAAACATACTCAAGATATAGAAAACATGAAGACCAAATTAAATGTAAAAATAAATTATAATAAAGGGAATATTTTAGTATACAAAAGTAATAGATAGTAGGAACAATTATCTTCTGGACAGTTAATAAAAGCTACAGCCAACTGTACATCGCCTCTTTACCTTGAAAAGTAGACAAAACAGCCAAATTTCAAATTATTAAATGACCTATGATTAAAACCCTTTTGCAAATGTGTTTATTTGCATTCCAGCATGTTAGAGAAATACTAATTGTTAAGATTATGTATAGAATAGAATATTCACTCCTTCACACTTCCAAAAGTTGGCTGACAGTCCTGGAAACTGAAGTAAAAAGCAGGCAATGTACACTTAATACACATCTAATTGTTTAACAGTCTATTTGATGAGAAACAACTCTCAAAACCAAACCAAAAATCCTAAAAGAAAAGCAATATACAGAGCTTACTAAACATCCCCCTACTACTGGTAGCTACATGAATACGTGGCTAACAGGGCTTCAGAATCCTCTCCTAAAAACATTTCTCAAGGAAAGAAGTATGTGGTCCCAGCCCACTCTGCGGGAATCTGGCAGAACCTCCTATTCTTAAACCCCAACTTTCAACCACTTCTCAACCTCTATCTTCTTCCTTCCCATGACTGACTTCTCTTTTCCTCTCCCACTCCACCTTGTGTGAGTGCCAAACATGCGCACATGCACACACTTCCCACTTCCTTCCCATCCACATCTTTGTCCTCACCTTTACCCTCTATGACAACTCACAAAAGAGACTCTCCTCCCCTGTGGTACTTAAAGGAAGAAGAAAAGGCAGACTCATCACCACCGATATTGACTGCTGAAACCAAGACATGAGGTTATCAGAACGTACACAAATTTAAAAACTGTGGTAGTCTTGGTTTTTTACCATCCCACTTCTACATGGGGTGGATAGAAAATGCCTTCTATAGCTCAATCCCTCACATCTGAGAATAATGTTCAAAAGTATCAGTGGAATACACCCAAACATACAACTTAAGTTGTCTAATGACAAATGATGAGGGAATCAGAACTGCCAACATTAGAACTAAGTTTCTAAAAGAACCATTTTTTCTGTCACTAATCATCAGTGAATGCAGGACTCTGGGCCATGATTAAATGAGGACATAAATTGCACACTGAGCTGCATACAGGAGTGTGAATGACACACCATAGGAACTTAAAATTCTAGTTTTCGTGTGTACTTAACAGATAAGCAGGTACTTATACCCCCTTCATTAAATCAGGTGTATTCTTGTCTAAAACATCTTAACTCCAAACATATACACTTTGGATGTTCACATTCACTGTCTTCAATTACCTTCAAAAGATCCTGTGACATCAGAGGCAGAATTAGGTTCACTCCATATAAAACAACATCAGCTGCAGACACAGACCTGTTTGCTGCTTGCCCTGGCTCATGTCCTCTGAACACTTCATCTATGGAAAAAAAAAAAAAAAAAAAAGCTGTCTTAGAATTGCAACATCAATACGCCAATAGAATTAGATATATTCTATCCTACTTTTGCCCTGGGTCATCCTTTTATATTTTACTTTTTAAGATCTCTGAGTACTTGATGAGGATATGAGGATATTCTGTGTTTATGTTATTATTCTACAATGATAAAAGTAAAGTAAAACCTATTCCACTGACACACTATACCGTAAGTTAAACAATTTCCACAGTAATACTTATTTTATCTCCTAGGTGTATGAAATTTTTCTATGCTATAAAGCTATGGGGAAAAACAAAGAAATTAAAATGTTACATGAAAAAAAAAGCAGTCAAAAGTAACTACTGATATGAAAAAGGGTTATTATCCTTAATCTATAAAAAAACGCATATAAATTAAGAATCCTCCTAAGACCTAAATAAGTGAGTGAGCAAAATCCACAAACACCTAACAAAACCAGAAGCCCAGTGAAAAATAGTTCATTCGGGTGCCTGGGTGCCTCAAGTGGTTAAGTGTCTACCTTTGGCTCAGGTCGTGATCCCAGGGTCGTGGGATAGAGCACCACACTGGGCTCCCTGCTCAGGGTGGAGTCTGCTTCTACCTCTCCCTCCACCCCTCTCCCCTGCTTGTGCTCTGAGACTCACACTCTCTCAAACAAACAAATAAAATCTTTTTAAAAAGTTAAAAAAAACCCAGTTCATTCTACTCATTTATGAAACAATGCAAGTTTTTAAAAGATACTACTTCTGATTCATTAAAAAAGACTTTTAAATGTTAATACATTTAAATGTTGGTGAGGATACAGTTTAATAGTAACCTTCAAAAGTAACTCATTAAAAGCCTATTGAGCACTGTATGTACTAAAGATATAATCAGAAATTCAGAAAGAGATTTGCCCACAGAAGTGATTGCTGCATTACCAGTTATAAGAGCAAAATCATACATATTCCAAATGTCCAGTATTAGGGAAATCAGGTTAAATTCCAAAAGGTGGAATACCATGCAGCCATGAAAAATCATGAAAAATCTTAATGACAAGGAAAAGGCTAACAACATATTAACAAAAAAGGCAGAATATAAAATTATATTTAGAGTATGATCACAAAATTGTACAAAATAACTAAAAGGGCAATGACCACAATGCCATTTATATCTGACTCTAGATTATGTCAAAGAATGGGTGATTTTTCTATCTCTGCACTTCAAAATTTTTCTACTAAGAGCAAATACTTGTATAACAAACAAAAAAGGTAAAGTCAGGTTAAAAAAAAAAAGGCATTTCTACTTAAAAATGACTTTTTCCAGCCTGTGACCTTCTTCCCTAGGAGTCTCCTTTCCAGGTGGAAAAATGGCATGTTCTGAAGCCAGGCACTGATGAACCTCGACTGCATCTAGCAGGAAACCTGCGCCTGCTCTGGAGCCCTGGGAAGCTGATCCTCAAGCTCCCACTCAACTCCCAGGGCTTGCTCCTAAAAGATAGGGCTCTCAGGACTGTATAAAACATCCTGCCTTGTGCTTGGTGGGACACAGCTCTCCAGCCACAAGTTCTCCTAAGGATTCAAGAATATAGAGCAGAAGCCCTTTTCCACTTACGCTTACAATATAAGTTGTATTTCATAATATTTAAAGTATTTTCTATTTTATCTCAATTATATTTATTTTAAAAATAATTACTTAAAATATCACTTTCCTTTCTGTCACCTATTTTATCAGCTAATGCTATTTCTTTTCATCTTTTTGACTTTTTATTGTGAAAATCTGCCATTCATCTATAGAATGTGTTCTTAGAATGGCAGACTGCACCACAATCTGTTAACTGGGATGCCTTTTCCCTCTCCACAACCTTTAACAGCCCTCCCATCCCTTTCAATACAAGCTCTTAACTTTGAGTAAGACTCCTCAGAGCACAGGGTTCTTGACCTAGGTCTTTATAGCCCTGGAAAGTCTACAGCTGAGTTCCTAAGAGTTCACAACCAACTATTAACCTTCGGTAAAGCTCTGAGGCTGATATAACATACACTTTTTAAGGGAAAGGCTCAGTAACTACTTCAGATTTTAAAGGAACATGTGCTCTAGAAAAGGTTAAGAACTCTTGGATGGAGAAGCTTCAACCTGAACAAAATAGAAAACATGGGAACGACACTTGGTGAGAGGCTGGGCCTAGAAACAGAGGGGCAGCTGAGGCTTTGGTACAGAAAGAATTCACTGAGAGGAAGTGCAGGACGGTGCTTCTTTCCTAGATACCCCTTATTAACTGTGAAGGAGAGTAAACCCTCTGGACTGTAAAACTGGTAGTGCTTAGGGTAGGGGCAGACATCACAAAAAACTATTGTTCAGGGAATAAGGAAAATAAATCAATAAAGGAAACAGAGAAGGAAGAATCTCAAGTACTGGGTTAAAGTGGAATGTCACAGCACCCAACTCAGAAAGAGAATCTTACAAGGATGTCAGAAGTGTCCACTACTGTGAATGTCTGCACAAAGTATGAAAGAAGGCCCTAGACAAGATTCATTTTTCTCTAAGAAAACAAGATCCCTTGGGTTTTAAGGCAAGGTTGTCAGTGGGTTAAGAGGCAAGTGAAGGAAAACTAAGTAAATAAGTGATGTTTCAATTAGTAAAGAAGTTCTTGCCTGTAATAACAACTTTCTTTTACCTTCTGGTTGCTGGGAACAATGCTAGGCACCATGATACTTTGTAGCTTTTGAAGACACTTCAAAAAGCATTTATTGCATACCCACTTTAGCAGAATAAATAAAGAAGTCTAATTGACTTCCCCAAGGTCAGGCTGTCTATGAGCACCTAAGTTAAGTCTTCCAAGTGTGGCCTCAAAGCTCCAGAATTCAGTGTTACTCATCCCAACAAGGATTCTAAACCAAGCTGCAATCTGGAAAGTGCTACAATTTTGGCTGATAGCTACCTCAGAAGACACAAAGGAGTGATTTGGTCAATAAATGTAACTCCAGAGTACTGGTGTGGCTCAGTCGGTTAAGCAGCTGTCTTCGGCTCAGATCATGATCCCAGGGTCCTGGGATTAAGCCCCACATCAGGCTCCCTGCTCAGTGGGAAGCTGTCTTCCACCTCTGTCCCCCTTCACCCCTGCTCATGTTCACTCACACACACACTCTCTCCCTCTCAAATAAATAAAATCTTAAAAAATAAATAAATAAAGCGTACCTCAGAAAAGACTGGCCTCTGGCATCCCATTCAGATGCTAGGATGTGAATCCCAGTCCTGCAACTTACTAGCTATTGATCTGGGGGAAATGATATGACTTTCTCTGTGCCTGTTTCCTCATCAACAAAATGAGTGTAACAATGATACTTATTTCTTGCCTTTGTGATATAAACAGTGCTTGGCATTTTTAAGAACCTAAAAAGACAAGATATTACTACTATTCTTATAAGGGAAGAGCCAAGCAGGAAGAGATGTTGGTCCTACCCCTTTGCTTCAACCAAAGAGACTTTCATGATTTTATAAACTGAATTTTCTCATAAAATTTCACTTAAAAATATTCCTTTGCTTTAAAAAAAGACAATAAATACAAAGTTTAAAACCATTACACTGGGGGTGCCGGGGTGGCTCAGTGGGTTAAGCCTTTGCCTTCAGCTCGGGTCATGATCCCAGGGTCCTGGGATTGAGCCCCGCATCGGGCTCTCTGCTCAGCAGGGACCCTGCCTCCACCTCTCTCTCTGTCTGCCTCTCTGCCTACTTGTGATCTCTGTCTGTCAAATAAATAAATAAAATCTTTAAAAAAAAAACCAAAACCCATTACACTGCATCTTACCTGTATCACTGAAATCTATGAATTCTTTTGATAGAAGGTTAGTAAGAAGTTCCATAATGAGAAGCAGGTCTTGGTATTGCTCTTCCTCCGCTGTAACATCTATTCTTTGTCGCCCTAAGTTATTCTTAGAATATACTTGCAGCAAAGTAAGGCAAGCTTCATATAGGTTCATAGCTTTGGACTGTAAGAGAATGTGCATAAATTACACTACTAAGAAGAATTTAGTTGGGAAAAAATATAAGCCCTAAAAGAAACTATAATCTAATAAATTTACTCTGAATCCCAAGAGTAGCTCAAATACTTGTTTTAAACTATTATAAAACATTAAGAAAAATGAAAAAGCATATATTACAGATTGCAGTTGTATTTTCAAAATTAGCAGTTTCTAAGAAAATCTGACATCCTTTGTTGTTGTTGTTCACTTCCTAACACATACTAGAGAGATAATAATATTTTGGCAGCAGAATTGCTGTACTTTTGCGGTTTCAACTTCTTATATAACATTTATTATTTTAAGATTTAACACTGTTTAACTTGCAAAAGCAGAGAGTACCAAACAGTGGTCCTAAACATCAGAATAAATGGCAATGGCCTGCCCTCTCAGTCATGCATCTGTGACTACATTTGTAATATTTATAAAATAAAATCTAACTTTTGAGCAGGTGCCTTTGATCTAACAAAAAAATGTACAAATCAGGAACCCATTATGAAATGGTTTAAAACAAGATTTATACTAATCTGCAGGCAATTACAAATATATTCCTTTAATACAGTTTTACAACAGCTTTCCAAATAATTTCTAAGAAGGATTAAAAAATGCATCTTTGCTTACTTATCATAAAAGAATTCAGTGTCTAAATATCCATCTGATTTATAAAGCAAAGACACAAATTGCCACTTAAAATTTTAAGCTTTAGAGTTTCAACAGACAGAAACTGATTAAATTTTTCTACTATTGTCTTATCAAATATTCCTCATTTGGATGAGTTTGATAGAATAACATATTATATAAAAAAATTACTTATTACTAACAGTATTAGGTCAGTAATTTATATTCCTTCAATAAGCCTTCCTCTGAATTCTGAGTTCTTCTGGAAAATTCTGAAGTCTTTTTGAAAACTCTTTTGGAGGCACAAAAATATTTCAGATAGTATTCATTGAATTTAAAGTAAAGTATCGGGGCGCCTGGGTGGCTCAGTGGGTTAAAGCCTCTGCCTTCAGCTCAGGTCATGATCCCAGGGTCCTGGGATCGAGCCCCGCATCGGGCTCTCTGCTCAGCGGGGAGCCTGCTTCCTCCTCTCTCTCTGCCTGCCTCTCTGCCTCCTTGTGATTTCTGTCAAATAAATAAATAAATCTTTAAAAAAATAAATAAATAAAGTAAAGTATCTGTTATTTTTTTATACTTTAAGGAGTTCTAATCCTAAAGGGATAAAATTAGAAAGCACTTACCTCTCCAAGATAGCATATCTGTTTATGTGCAACTTCAACAAAAACTTCTATTATGAGATTGACAGTCTCTGGGGTATTTTTGTAAACTTCCATCAATCCAATGCAATTGGTAAGGAAGTCCATCAAAAAATTAAAAAGAATTGCTACATTGTCAATCTGGGTAGCCTCAGCAATGCCACAAAGGGCCTCCAGTGTGGCGGTGATTTCCTGCTTGACTTCCTCTTGTTGACACATCTGCTGAAAGTTTTCTTGATTTATCACTCTTAAGAATCGCTGCTGAAGTGGCTGAAGAACCTATCAATGATAGTAAAGCATAATTTTCTAAAGTTTAATTCACATGTTTCATTTATTTCAACTTTATTTCCTCAACTTGGATAAATGCTCACTTTATAAAGCATTACAAACTGTACCATGTTACATTCTCCATTTAAAAGATTTTATTTATTTTGCAGAGAAAGAGAGCATGTGTACATGTGCAAGCAGGGGGAGGGGAGGGGAGGGAGAGAATCTTAAGCACAGAGCCCAACAAGGGGCTTCATCACATGACTGTGAGATCATGACCTGAGCCAAAATGAAGATGGATACTCAACTGACTAAGCCACTCAGGGATCCCTACATTCCCCATTTTGAGGGTCATCATAACTTCTGGCCTACATAAAAAAATAACAGTGCACTAGTCATTAGGGAAATGGATATCAAAACCACAATATGACATCACCTCATTCATTTTAGAATGGCCATCATCAAAAGGACAAGAGATAAATGCCAGCAAGGATGTGGAGAAAAGGGGATCCCAGGGCACTACTGGTGGGGATTGTAAACTGGTGCCGCCCACTATGGCAAATAGTATGGAGGACCCTCAAAAAATTAAAAACAGAATTACCACATGACCCAATAATTTCACTTCTGGGAATATATCCAAAGGAAATAAAAACAGCAACTTGAGAAGACATCTGTACCCCCACGTTCACTGTAGCATTATTTACAATTCTCAAGACATGGAAACAACCTGAGTGTCCGTCAATGGATGAATGGATAAAGAGTTATGGTACATATGCAACAGAATATTTAGCCATAAAAAATGGTAAATCCTACCATTTGCAACCATATGGATGAACCTTGAGGGTGTATCTTAAGTAACTCAGACAAAGGAAAATACCATATGATCTTACTTACAATGAGGAATTTTAATAAAATAGTAAAATAAAGTAACAAAAAATTGCAACTTTCAGAAAAAGATTTGTTAAAAAAATGTTCTGTAAAAAAGAAACAGACTTGTAGTTACTAGAGGTGGAGGTGGAGGGGAATTGGAAGAAGGTAGTTGAAAGGTACAAACTTCTAGTTGTAAGAGTAAGTAAGTACTAGAAGCGTAATGTACAACATGATGACTACAGTTAATACATATTCTTATGCTGTATGATATATATGAAAATGCTTAAGAGTTCTTATCACAAGAAAAAAAATTTTTTTTTTGCTTTTTCTTTTTATTGTATCTATATGAGATGATGGATGTTGACTAAACTTCTTATGGAAATCACTTCACAATATATGTAAGTCAAACCACTTCCTGAAGTAATTTAGTTTCCAAAAACCACCAATCACAGAACATGACTTAGTCAATGCCATTCACAGAATTCTGTCACGATCATCTCTTTCCAATTCGTTAACTGCCCCCACCCCCAAAGATGAAATTTAAGTCTCCAAAGGGCCAGAGAGTAAATACAGACTTCGCAGAACATGTCATCTCTGGCCCGACTATCCAATTACAATTGCACTATAGTACAGAAGCAGCCAGAGATACAAATGTAAACAATTGAACATGACTGAGTTTCAATAAAACTTTATTTACAAAGAGACAGCAAGCCAGATTTGGTCTGGTTTGGTGGTCTGGTTTGCTGGGTTCCAATTTGCCAACCTCTGTTTTATAGGTCAAACCCAACATACACCTCTTGCCTGTTTTTCTCTTTTCTAACCCCTCTTGGCAGAGAACATAACTTCAGATGATCAGTCCTGCCCTGAGTGAAAATGTATATTTATGAAGATATCTTAGTTCTACTTACAGCTATATATTGAGAGCACAATTATTTAAATCCTGGTCTAAAGTCTAATTCTGTTACTGTGTCCCTTCTCAGACATTAAGAGCACTCTAGTCACAAGGACTACAGGCCACCCACCTACATAAACTGGTAACTCTTGGTTCCTGATTTAAAGCTAATTTACATAAGGCAATGTGTCCACAGTGGTTATTGGTTGAATTATGTACCTCCCTCAAATTGACATGTTGAAGTCCAAATCCCAAGTACCTCAGAAAGAGGCTTTATTTAGAAACAGGGATGTTGCAGATATAAGTAAGTCAAGAAGAGATCATTAGGGTGGGCTTCTGATTCAGTATGACTGATATCTTTACACAGACATACACACATGGAGAATGTCATGTGAAGATGAAGACAGAGATTATGATGATGCTTCTACAACGTAAGGAATGCCAAAGACTGCCAGAAACCACCAGAAATTTGGGGAGAGGCCTGGAACAGCTTCTTCCTCATAGCCTTCAAAAGGAACCAACCCTATCAACACCTTGATCTTGGATTTCTGGTCTACAGACAATAAATTTCTGTTTTTACACCACTAAATTTGTGATATTTTATTGCGGCAGTCCTAGCAAACTAATATGTGGTTAATTTGCATCTCCACATTCAAAACAAGGGGCTATTTCACTGATTCTTTAGGCTTTCATTTGAGTTGTGGGCAAAAATGTGCCCAAACCACAAAATACTTAGTACTATTCAAAGTTCTCATGTATGCAGATATGGACAAATTGTAAGATGATATTTATAAAAATAATAAGCTTCAACCTATTCATTATAAGGGAAAAGTACCAAGAAAAGGTATAACTGACATGTTTAGGTCTCCACAGAGTATTTTACAGCAACACACAAGAAGATGCTATCAAAATAAAGGGAACTGTTACCTCTGTCCAATACTGCTGTTTGGTTTCTGTGTCCATATGTGCAAAACCTCCCAAAACAAGAGCCTTCATTAATGTCCTCTGCACAGGACTTGACAAGAAATTCAGAGGTGGGCTTCGGCTTGCAAACTGCTTAGCTAAGTTCCACCAGTTTTCACACTGAATTACTAAGTTTGCCCTACAGTCAGAAAGAACAAAACATAAGATGCATTACTTACATCATATGTATACTAAGCAAACAAAAATGGAAGGTAACCAAATTTAATTAGTTACTGAAGTACAGTATAATAAACTTGGTATAGACTTTGGAGTCACACAATTTTGCGCTCAAATCCCATTAGTCATTTGATATTGTAAAATTTATTTACTCTCCTTAGTTTCCAGATCTATGAAATAGGAATTAACAATAATAATAGACCTAATTCTCATGGTTGAGACTAATACGATAATTAAATAAAATATTATAGTTAAAATGCTTGGAATAATACCTAGTAAATTACAAGAAACTCAACTAATTAAGAGTTAGTCAATGCCAGGAGTAGTACAATCACATTCTTATGTAGTAAGAAAAATGAGAAACTCTTCCAGAGTTGTAGAAAACACTAAAGCTCTTAACTTGCAAAATCATTAAATTATCAAGTTTTTCTCATCTTTAAAATGGAACAGGATACCTGAAAAAATTAAATGAGATTATTCTGTATTAGTGTTTTTAAAACTATAAATTACTGAATTAAACATGTTTCTCATAAGATTCTTTAATGCCAAATCCCTGAATAGTCAACACAATCCTCAACTGTAACGTGTGAAAGCTGTATTTGCACTTATAGCAATAATATGATATATATATATATATATATATATGCATCATATAATATATGTATATATATAAAGTACACTGCTCCAAAATGCAAGGCCTATCTGGACTTTAGGACCAGGTAACTGCCACTTGAAAGACTACAGACAACAGACACACAGTCTTCCTCCTATAATCAGCTTACCTTTCTCTTCTTTCCACCAAAGTGACAAGGAGCTGCACAGTGTCATTTGCAAGGTCCTGCTCACTACTCCACACTGAGAGGTTACTGATGACTTTTTGTAAGAGGTAGCCAATAATCCACTGAGAACCTTCTGTATCTGCCCCAAATGCTGTACTGAATGGCAGACTTATCTTAAGAGAGAAAACAAAATTTTTAAAGTCAGAAAGAAAGATCATCTTCAAAAGAAATCCACAGAAAAGTCAAACTGAAATTAGCATCTAAATCTGAAGTACTACTTACATCAATTTTAAATGTATTCATTTCTATTAAGTCCAAAACAGACATACTCAATCCACTTAATCTTCCAATGTGATTTTCCGATCAACTTTACTTTCATATTAATATACCAAAATGATATTTATACCAAATACAAAGAACATAAATTAATCCATTCCCAATAGTAATCTGTAATTAATACAGTTAAAATAAGCTGAATTAAATGATGTGCTCTAAGAAAGTTATTAAAATTACACACCATTCATATGGTTCTCTTCAATGTGGAAGATGTTCAGCTCTTAGTTATATGTTGATGAGAAAATCACCAAGAAAATTGTTATCAGCATAAATCCAAACTAAGTCAGTTTTACATTCTGACCTGATCATATAGTTTCTCATCCACCAGGAGGTAAGTCTTTGCCCAGCGTTTTAGAAACCAAACAATATCTTTGCCCATTTGAGGGCTTAGTAGATGAGTGAGATCCGCTCTTATTGCTCGAGATTCAACTTCTGAAACTCTCAGAACAGCAGATAACAGCCTGTGGGTATAAAAAAGAAGTCATTTATTCTTTTATTGACTGTCTAATCTGTTTTTTTCTTAAAAGTCCTTTTCCTGTTTCTCAACTCTCTGAATTTAGGCCAGGCTACACTTGAAATTTTCGTCAACTGTGTTGTACACAAAGGCCCCATTTTACTGCTGACCTTTCAGGAAGCAGGAAATAAGAAAAAGCGAAGAGTCATGGATAGAGACAACCTTCTGTGCAAATCGTACCGCATGTGCAAGTCTCAGCGTTACCATCTAAAGATGTTTTTCACATTCAAAATGGAGAAATACATAAAATTAAAAGTTCAGAGTAAATGCTAAATCCTTCAGCACTTTATCACTACTCAAACCTCCCATGGGTTAACGCTGTTTTTATACATTTGTCATTTTATGGTAGAGGATCTGGAAATCGACTTTTCTAAAACGCTTTGAATGCTGAATCTTGTCTCTAAATCCGACAGTCCTAAATACTTCCTAACAAAAACTTGATTCTTAATGGTATTTTAAAATAAAAGTCTTGCTAAAAAAAGTTATCTCCGTAATGATGTACTCTAAGAAAGTGTCCTCTCCTACACTACATAATTCATATGGTTATGTGGTTTCAATAAAAAAGCACGATCTGCAGTTAAGTTGGAAAGTCTTCGTTCTGGAGGTGGGAGTAGGAGAGAACATAATCAGAAGTGATATATATTTAACTTGACTTTAGCTAAAACACAAAGAAGGAAAGGGTGTAACTGAAAGAATCCATCTTAAAATCATTTTATGACTATCTGTGCCAAAGCAGAGATTCTAATTGCCTGAAGTTGGTCTTCTGCTACTTTTCCTTACTGCTCTCAAGATGACTGAAATTATCTCCTTGTAATGAAATCTTACATTTCAGTTCTTTATCCAACTGGATGTCTCCAAAGTACTAGCTACTGTTTATCACTCCATCCTTTTGAAATAATTTCTTTCCTTGCACCAAACCGGTAGTTTTTAAGTTTCTACCCCCAGATCATCTTTTTTCCCTATATATTATCTACTCCCTATATCAAGAATTTCAATTTAGGGTGGATATGAACAAAAATACCCCATGACTTCACAATACATTTAAGTTGATGTACCAGATTATTCTCATAAGAATGAATAGTTTTAAATAATATAACTTGCAGCCTAGCAGAATTTGAATGAAATAATTACAGTAACTTTCTAAATTTATAAACAGGAATTTATTTATCAGTGTTCTGTCTGATACCCACCATCATCCATTTGAAAAATAAACATATTTTTCTTTAACAGCTGGAAACTTTACATTGTTTCTTTTTCCTCAAATTTTTTTTCTCCTTAAATTTTCATTTCAACTTCATTTCCCCATATTATCTTAATATATTTTTATACTCATTTACTGCTCATACCATTTAATTCTCTGAAACAAGTATGTCTGATTAATGAAATAGAATTTAAAAATATTCTCAGTGATCATAAGACTATTTTTTAAAACACCTTTTGGATTATCTATCGATGCAATACTAATACACAATTGAGCAAAGTACCACACAAATTTAAACAAATTATTAAATGTAAAAATAAAATTTTATGCATTTGTGATTGAAGTTAATGTAGCAGGATTTTGTTTTTCCAAATGAGTTCATATATCTGAAAAAATACTACTTCTTGCTAGAATGAGACAGAGCTGAACATAATTTGATTTGATTCCTTCTTCATTTAAATAGAAACAGTGGGAAAATCTATTCACATAAATGGAAAGCATTTTTAAAATAACAGGGTTCCTTAATTATTTGAACTTCTTCCAAGTTATATGCCAAAAATCACAGAAATCCACCATCAAAAATTATTTTTAATAATCTGTTAACTGACAACCTGATTCCTTCCATGTCATTTAATGCAAAGGGCTGAAAACCTTCTGACTTGTAAAATTACTGGTTCTCTATTACTCAGTCATTCACTCCCAACACCATATTATTTGGAACTGTCCCTTTATTTGGCACTCTGCACATTTTTACATACCTGCCTATCCATTATGATAAGATTCAGAATGAGTAAGAGCTTTTGCCTTTCTTTTGTAAAGCGGGAGCAAGGTAAAGAAGAGTAGCACAGGCAGTTCGCAGGCAGATAAAGCTGAGGCTCCCCTGGGACCCTTCCTATATCCTCACCGCTGTACCCCATGGGGTCACTTCTGAAAGAACCATCTGCCTCTTTCACCCTACTACTAATGGAAATGCTGCCTAACCTGCCTTGTCATCCTTTAAATCCGTTTTCCACAGTATAATCCTACTACTATGGTTTGATCACTTCACCTCCGTATTTCCAGTCTTTCTCCAGCAATACAAAGACCATCCCTACTTCTCCATCTCCACAAAGACCTTTTCCCGCTACATTTACACATAAGCAACAACAAACTGCCTCCTGCTTCACGCCACACTCTCACTTCCAGGCCTCTGCCTAGGCTACTGTCACTGCCTGGAATACTCTTCACCTTCTGCTGTATGTTGCAGCCCTCAACTATCAGGTTAAATGCCATCTTTCCCAAAAGCACCCCTTAATTCTTCCCCTACTAACAGGTTAGGTAAACCTCGGTGCTCCTCTATCACTCTTATCAGACTTCTATTGTATCCTTGGATCGTGGCACATAGGGGAACTGAACTGATGAAAATGTCACAATTTTTTCATTAAAGTATAGTGGACACACAATGTTACACTCAAATATTTTTTAATTGTTGATAGTTTAAATTCCTAATCCTACTTTAATTTCTTAAGTATGCTATCTAAACATACTTCGTATTTCAGACAGCACTCACACTTTCCAATACTTTATAAATTAATCTTGGATTACCTTTTCATTTTATAAACCAAAAGTCAGCAAAATGGGTCCAAGAAAGCTCTCTTTAACTTCTTGCCACATCTACTCTGATCTGGACCACCATCATCTTTCCCTTGGATTACTTCAATTAGCCTCTTCACTGGTCCCCCTGCTTCCATTTTTGTCACTCGTAGTTTACTTTCAAGGTAGCAGAGTAACGTTTTAAACATTCTCTGTTCAAAACCCTACAACAGCACCCCACCTCATTCAGAGCAAAGGCTAAAGACTTTATCTGATTTCCCTCTATTTTCCCTTCTATCTCCATTTTCTGACAAAATTCCATCTCACTCTGCTCAACCCACAGTGGTAGTTCCAACTGTTGCCTGAATATGCCAGGCATGCCACAGGGCCTTTGTATTAGCTGTTCACTCTGCCTGGAATGCTCTTCCCCAGGACATTATGGCCTCATCCCTACCACCCTCAAGTCTTTGCTCACAAGTCACCTTCTAAATAAAGCCTATACTGATCACAACATTAAAAATTATAGAAATCTCTGAAATCGGCACTCCTGATTCTCCTCACCCTGCTCAGTTTCTTATCCCACAGTCTTATGGTCTTCTAACACACCATATGATTTATTTATTATCTTTCCCCTATAAAGAGCTTTAGAAGGGGACTGATTTTTGTCTGATTTGGTCACTGATGTATCCAAATGCCTAGAACAGTACTTGGTACATATTAGGTACTCAATAATTATTTGTTAAAGGATAAATTCTTCAAGAAATGTGAACTTTTTTTAGTCAAACTAGGAATGTTTCTCTCATATAGCCTTCAATTTCAAATTAGTTCTTTGAACTGGAAAAAAAAAAAAAAGACAATTTTTGTTTCCAACCCTCATCTCAACCCTCCATAGTCTGTGCTCTCAGATACAAAAATGTTTTGCTCCCACACTGATACCTGAGACTCGCAAAAATTGAAAAAGCACTGAAAATACAAGGAAAGCATCCCTGATGGTACTGCCGAGGCAAGAAATGTGACAAAGAATATAATATGACAGCACCCTGAAATGAACTGCCTTTGAAATTAACATTCACCATGAATCAAGCCAAAGCAAAAGTGATGATTTCCACAAGCACCTAATCTAATGCCTATAGTAATCCCATAAAGAATAACTTTTTTCCATAGAGCATTGATATTTTATTTCAAACAAGAGAATAAAACAATAAAGGAAATAAATTCTCAAACATTTCCTTGATATTAACTTAATAGTTCATATTTTTTTAAAAAATCACTTTCTACTGCACAGGTGTAAATGATATCCATGTATTTCTGCATTAAAATTAAAAAGATGAGAGGGACAGCACCCTGCTTGAGTTACTGATTTTGCAACTGGCAAAAACCAATGTTATTTCATTATTGATCTTTCTGCCTGAAACCTAAATTTAAAGATACTGAAATCCAAAATGCTGTTTTCAAATCCCCTTTTAGGAGAATATTTGTCTAGGTGTATCCCTCCTTAATTTCACCATTAAGAATTAATGAAAATTTTGCCACTACTAATAGGAAGATCAAAGTCAATTCTCATCTAGGCACACTACTGTCTTCTAACTTCACCTGACAGGACTCTCAAGTTTCACATATTCAGGACAAATATTTCTATTTTATAAGTTAAGAATCATAGTTTTCCTTAAGAAAGCCACTGAAATGTAGTTTTAGCTTTATCAACAAAAAAATGCTTGTTAATATTCCCCCGGTTTCTAAGAATCTCACATACTTTATTTCATTCATTTAGGGTGCCTGTACTCTGTTAGCACTGTTTTCTGATGGACATGGGATACGTTCAGAGTACTTTAGATCAAATGTCCCTTCAAAATCTCACTGTATTCAGAATAATTTTACATTTGTTTTCCTCAGTACAGGATATAGCTGTCAATTCTCACCAGAGTGGCATTACTTATATATACTGAGTACTTGCCATCCTTGTTTATTTCAAGGCTTCTCCAAGTTTTCTTTCATGTATCAGATTTACAACGTGCCTAACACTCAAGTCATCTACCCATCAACTCAGAATTTATAAAACAGTATAAATTACAAGAGCACAGCTATAGAGTTCATATTACCTAATCACAGAATCTGTTCTGTTGTACCCTGGGATGGAAGAAGCCTTTTCTCCTGGAGATCCCAAAATTTGAAGTGTTGTATTAATGTCAACTTCAGATGAATGCTTAATGGAATATTCCATTATTTCTGGAGGTATTAGCGGAGTCTCTCCCTGAGTATCATCAGCTAAGAGGTAGCCTTCAGTTTAAAAAAAATTAAAAATGAACACTTAACAAATCTACATTTATCAAATTGTACTATAAATGTTTTCAGTTTTATCTGATTTACATACATCATATTAAGTTGATGTGAAGGTAAATTATAAATGTTAATTTCAAGTTTGAGGAGAAGAAATTTTCTATTTCTCAGATAATTAACTCTCAAAATACAAAGGACAAATGTTTTATTCACCAATTTTATAATTCATACTGACATGTAGGCTTTTTAATCTACTACGTTTTAATAATTTTCAATAATATATCTGTAAACATAATAGGAATTCTACTATTATCTCTATCAAAATCAATATCATAATTCTACTATTATCTCTATCAAAATCAATATCTACTATTATCTCTATCAAAATCAATATCATTTGATATTGATATTATCAATATCAAAATATTTGGGAATGCCTTTTCAAAAAGTAAGATTTCTTTTTCTTGATTATTTAAAATACAAAAACACTAATATGCTTACAAAATAAGACCCTAAAAGTCAGACTGCCTAGATTTGCATTCTGGCTCCAAAAATTAATAGCAGTGTGACCACGGGCTAGTTTCTTAAAACTCTCTCTCAGCTTCTTCATTTATAAGATGGGGATAATAACAGTAACAATAATAAAACCTGCTAATAGTACTAAAACAGAAAAAAAATAGTACTAAATCATTGTGGGTTGCAATGAATTCCACATGTCATTGGGTATCCAAAAGGCATTAAATATACATGTTAGCCAGTATTTTTTAAAAATGCATCCCCAGCTGTGATATACAGAAGCTGTATTCAAATTTCGTCCAACACTATGTATGGACTTTTATTTTTTTTAACATATGAAGCTTCTTCTAACATATGAAGTTTAAACTGCTCAGTTGGCAATTACATTTTAAAAAGAAACAACCAACCAACCTGTAACTAAAATAAGCCAGTGAATATCTTCATACAGATCATCAAGCATTTTGTTGTCAATAGTGCTTGAACCAGGTGAAGCAAGTAATTGCTGCTGATGTCGTTGTAACTGACCATGGAGCCTTGTTACTCTTTCTTCTAATAAACTGAAAGAGGAGGGGGAAAAAACCCAAAGTTTCATAAAGCTCAATAAACAAAGATCTAGAACAACTCATAATTCCATTTATTAGACAACATAAATTAAGATGTTAGCACAAAAACACATATATGAAAATATTATAGTACACAGCTGTTCTCATAGCAGTATAGGAATTGTGATTTATTGTTTATGACATAGAATTAAAACATTGCTTTACAAACAATCAAGGTTTACAACAGGCATTTGAAAACTGGTTATTCCAAGTTTTTATTGATATGGGTCAAATCATTTCTCATACCATGTTTTCCACAATCTCTCTGCCATCTATGCTGTAGTGCCTGGGCTCCAAATGTACAAGCCAAGGAATGCAATCATGAGTATGTTTCTGTCCATTTGTTCCAGTGTGCTGGGATACGGGGTGGGGGTGTTTAAAGTCTTTAAACACTTTAAGTGCTCTCCAGGGAATTGTGAATAGAAAATATTTGCTCCATAGGGTTTCTTTGGACTGTGTGTACCTTGTCAGAAGAGGTATACAGTGTTCTGCAGCAATTCTTCCTAGCATTCCTACACTGGCTAGTTGATCTGAAAACTGGTCTCGATCATCCTCTTGAAGTTCACTTATTTCTTCTTCCTCACGAGAGGCCACACCATTGGCAGTCTATTATTGAAGAAGGAAATAGAGAGTGAGGAACTGCATTCCTTTGTTCAATGAATCAAACATTTTTGTTGCACTGTAAAATAACTTCAGCACATCACAGGAAAAGGAGAGGTGGACAGAGCCAACCCAGCGGTCTAGGGCCTACTAACTATGCTTGACAATGCTAGCAGTTACAAAAGAACGGGGGAAGGGAGACACAGAAGAGAAAGAAATGGAGGGTATTACCCCACCATGGTGCAAATGTATAAAGAGTAAAATGCACTCACAACCCACCTCCCCACCCCAGAGAATTTAACTTCGGTTACTGAAAAATCTGACACCTTTAAGATACATGGTCCTCTATATAGAAGAAGTATCACTGGACAACTAGGAAGACATAGGTGGAAGACACAGGTTTTCAGTGAAAGCTGAAGAAAAATGGGGTAACTACGAGCACCCCATAAAACACTGAACTCATTTAGAAAATGGGGTAACTTTTGCTCTAATGCTCTCAGCAAATCTTCTCAAGAAGCTCTTCCTAAATTTCTAATATTATACAATGTATAATAGGATAAAATAGACAAAACAGAATTATAATGAAATGGATTTTTACTTACAATCTAGCTTGAAACTTACCAAATTCCTCGTGCCATCTGGAGCAGCGAGGTGGCACTGAATATAGGAATTGAAAACTTGAACAGCATGTTGGGTAAAAAAGCCTTTATGGAAATGTTTGTCGTCTTGAACCAAAGTTAGCCAGGACTCTAGCAATTTGTCATATGCTTCCATGTATACCATGTCATCTTTATCAAGCTAAGAGAAAAGAACACTCATAAAACAGGTGGCCAGAGAAATAAGATGGGAATTATAACATGAGTTACAGAGTTATATATATAAACGAAATTTTCCTTTAGCAAAGGTTCAATTATTTAGTAAGCTAGAGCTAATTGAGCCCATTTTAAAATTAAACAAACATTACAGTAAAAATGTATAGGCTTTTTGTTAAACCTTCTAAAATCTTTATAACTTAATCTAAGTAATTCTTTTTTTAAATTTTTTAAACATTTTTTTCTTTTAAAGATTTTATTTATTTACTTGACAGACAGAGATCACAAGTAGGCAGAGAGGCAGGCAGAGAGAGAGGAAGAAGCAGGCTCCCTGCTGAGCAGAGAGCCGGATGCAGGCTCAATGCCAGGACCCTGGGATCATGACCTGAGCTGAAGGCAGAGGCTTTAACCCACTGAGCCACCCAAGCGTCCCTTAATCTAAGTAATTCTTAAGCACAAAGGAATTAATGCTTTTTAGAAGACTAGCTGCTCAGTACTTTGTGGAACATGTGCTTTGCAAGCAAAAATTAAAACAATTATTTTTCTGTAGTCAAGAGAACTGTTAGAATAAAAATACTAAATGTGTACTTACTATACACCTTTCAACGATTTTAGAAAATGTGAAGGATGATGAAAACAGACTGGCCTAATCAGCATACTTAAGAATATGCGGGGAGAACTTCATAGCTGTTCCCTAACATTTTAGAACAAAAAAGAAAAACAAGGATAGGGCCTACACAGGAAGGAATCCAGGAAGGATGCTGAGGTGGGAGGAACACCAGAAGCCTGCGGACTCACAAAAAGCAAAGTATGTGAGTACAAGTGAGTGAGCAAAGTATGTGAGTACAAGTGAGTGGCGAAGTCAGACAGTAAGCAATGTAGAATAGAATGGTACTAACAATTATGCAGGCTTGGATATTAAGTTTTACAACATGTATAACTAAAAGAACTTCACAGTATTCTGTCATATTGAGGAGGAAGTCTATATGTAGAGATTAAGGATACCTCTATGGAGCCCAAAGTCTTTAACATTTAACATATCACTTCATTTTTCACATTCTAGTAAGAATCCACATCCTAATTTTGCCATCAATTACTAATATGGGTACATAATTTACCTATGTATTGATTTCTTCACCCACAAACTCACTAGATTAGCACTATTCAATGAAAGGAACACTTAGTGTCAACCAACTATTGGTTAGTGCAGAAACATAAATAACATGCCCTTTAATGCTTTTAAACTCAGTCCAATGGGAAAGAGCAAAAAGCAAACAAAAAATACACTAAAGGCCATGAAGGATAAACACACATTTTAGGGTCAGTTTTTAACAATGGCGTCTCTCATAAGAAATTTGTTATAAATAAAAGAAGAGTTTTGAACTATATACTCACTTAAAAGGTTTTCACATTTTGTTACTAGGTTTCTGGTATTTTGTTACTAGGTAGTGAACCCACGAATACTGAAGGTCAATAGGTCTAATTTATAACTTGGCTTTTCTGGGTTCTAAAGCAAACAGGCCTTCATCCTACAAATACAGAACTCTGGAACCTTCACCAAAGAGAATCATCTCAAGCTGTTATTCTAGCAATTTGCCAATGACTTAAAAAAGGAAAGTAATGGAATCTATTTCAAGTATTCCAGATTACCCTGTACCCCCAGATCACAGTACTAGTACCTAAGCACCTATGTGAACTACTTCAGATAAACTATGTTTTCTTATGCCTTCAGCTTTTATTAACCCACAGTGTATTTAAAAACAAAACAAAAACAAACCAAAAAAGCCAGTCATTTTCTAGGTAAAATGGACCTTTTAGTTATTTTTAAAGATTCATTTGTTTGAGAGAGAAGATGAATACAGATGTGCGTGCAAGTGGAGGGAGGAGCAAAGAGAGGGAGAGAGAAACTCAAGTGGATTTTGCACTGAGTGCAGAGCCTGACATGGGGCTCCATCACATGACCCTGAGATCAGACCTGAACTGAAACCAAGAGTTGGACACTTTAACCAATTAATGCCACATAGGCACCCTTAAAATGGACCTTTTAAAATATATAAAAATTTTAAATCATTTTGTGAAAAATTTACATAAGAATGAAGGAAAAAATGAAAAGAACATCATTAGATAATTTAATAAGGATTTAAACAGAGCAAACCCAAATTTTTACTACATATTTACCTGGCCCTAAAAACATATTTACCAAAAATGAGCAATTCTTTGAATGAAACCAACTGGAACTTATTCATTTCATGAATAGTTACTGCTTATTATCTGTGGTATTTATGTTCTATAAAGATGCCACAAACGTTGAGTTAGTAAACAGGTTAGGTTCCTTCTCCAATCACTACATTTTTCTACCACGTCAAGGTGAACAGATCAATACATAACTGTGTTTTATGCATAACTTAGTTTTATGTCTTTCTGTTTGCAGACACCTTATTTAATATACATCATTCATTTACTAATAATGAACTAGTGATCAACACCACTATAACTCATGCCTGAATGAAACTTATCTGATTCATGTATCTGCTCCATAAGGCATCACAGCCATCTTACACACAGGAACACTAGGTAGCACTTCAACATAGCACTCAGAGGCCATCTCAAATAGTGAAATTATCCTGGCAGTCACTGCACAGGAAGAACTTCAGTATTTTTTGACAAAAATTTAGAAAACCCCAATTCACACAAAAGTGCAAAAAATATAGCCCTAGAAAACATGGAAATTTGTTTGTAATATGTAGGCTAAAACAGGAAGGCAGAGCATTTGCCTTGTTTGACCTCAGCTGGGAATAAGCATGTCACGCAATTCCTGTTTTTCATAAATCTTTGCATGTACATGTCCACGAATTATGAGAATGCCACGAGTGCTGCTTTTGGGGTTACAATACAGTTTTAGCAAGGGGGAGAATTTGCTGTAAACATGGAACTTATGAATGAGGACCATTGGTTCTTCTTGCTCAGGTATCTTTAAAATGCATTACACTTTTGAAAACTTTCATAACTCATAAATTTTTGAAAGACAGCCACCCATATTTTTGGTTCCATAAATGTGAGAGCATATTCATTTAGATTTACAAATACTTATGAAAATGATCAAGTCAACCAATTTTTTTTTCATTTCTACATCATCTATTTTCTACACCATTATTTCCACCTTTGTACATACTGCTTTCAGCACTAATGCTATTATAAACTACATTAAGTAAATTCTGCAGCACAAATATTAAAAGAAATAAAAGAATACTGTCAACCCAGTCAAAACTCCTGTCACAAAATACTTGAAGTTTTTCCTGTGGAATTACTGACTGGATAAAAATGCCTTATTTTCCTATTGTCCTTGGAAATAAATTGCTTTCTCACAAGTTGATGAATTTGAAAAAATTTACCTAGGATATCAACTAAAACTCAATCTTCGATTTCACTTATACTATCAATTTCATCATCATTATTGGAGTTTAGCATGCCATCTCTTTACATTTATTTTCTAATTTGTTTTATCACTGTAAACGGTCTTATTCTGGCAATTTCCTCCTCTTTGTTACTATGGGCAGAAAATGAAAAATTCTGAATTCCAAACAGGATCCAATTAAACATAAAGACAAGCAAACAAACAAAAAAGAACTTAAAGGAAACTGAAAATCTAGCCCCCGGTGGTATACTGAGAGTTAAAGAATGTCGTAAAAAATAGCCAAATAAAATCTGTTCAAGCATCATCTGCTGTCATGGGATGGAGGATTCCACATAATTCATTGCCTCCTTTATAAAGCTTTGCAAGAAACTTTTTCTACCTTTATTTTTACTTAATATTAAAAAGAATTCCTCTGAGGAGCAGCTGTGCTCCCTCTTTTTGCAGGAGATCCTCTTAAAGAACCTTACCTCCCATCCCATTTCAAGTCCTTCAAATTCAAATCTAAAAAATCAAATTTATTATTACCTACAAAGTAAGCTTCTAGCTTGCATATCACAATTGCTCTTTTTCTCTAATCTTAACTTTCTACTCTTATTTCTGATTGTTTTCTGCAAGTTTTAAAAGATTATTTCATTTTAAATGCCACCAGAAATCTTCTATGAAACAAAGAAGGTAATGAAAAAATAAAATAATCTCTAATATAGTTTCAACTGCTATATTAAACACTTTTCCTCTTTCCCTCTAGAACATGGCCACTATTCTAAAGCCTGCCTGATTAATGAAAGAGCAGCTGTGAAGAGTGGCCTAATGTAGAACAAGACAACATTCAAAGGGTTAACTGAAAATGAAACTGACTTAAGAATGTCTACTTAACAGCAGAATCATACGGTGATTTACATGTAAGAATGTCTACTGCAGCATTACTTAAACACATGTTAACAAATTTATGAACCATTTCCCTAATCATGATTTCTAGTACTATTTTAATGACATGAAAAGATGCTAATGATATAAATAAAAAGTAATGATTTTGTTTTTAAGTCTAATTGGTATGCCTTAAAATTTGGAAAAAATACATTAAAAAATTAATAATAAGTTTCAGAAGGTGAAACTACAAGTGATTTGGTTTACTTCTCATTAATCAAAAAAATTTTTTAAACAATTTTGGGTATTAAATGTTCATACTTTGACGAGGGGAAAAGGTATTTATAACCCTATATATGAGTAAAGAGATGCCAAGAAAATGGGTAATTAATGGGATTTTTTGAAGAATTTTAATTTTTATGCACCATTTGGGTTACTTTTACCAATTAGCATATTCCATTTTTACATTAAAATTGTATTCTGAAATGATACTAGTAACAAAATTAAAATTATAAATGTGAAGAAAAAAGTAGAAGTAAAAACTTAACTGATAAAAAAAATGGACACACTCTTAGTATTTGGACCAAGGAAAAAAAGAAAAAAGAAAACTTGAATATTCCCACAACTAACCATTTAAAATTTTTAGTTAGTTTAAATTTTTCTCCAGAAGAAAATACCAGGCTTGGCAGATTTACAGGTGAAATCTA